GGAAGAGCACCTCTGCCTCGGGCTTCCTGTAGTCAGCGCTGGTCAGTTTCAGCAGCGGCTGAATCTGGACGCCAGTTCCGACTTACATACAGATTCAACTTAAGAACAAACCTACAGTCCCTATCTTGTACGTAACCCGGGGACTGCCTGTATACTAAAAAAGTTTTAAAAGCTAATATAGTTTGTACTATTTGTGTATTTCACTTACTTCCTTTATTTCACAGCTTGGACAGTACAAGTTGGTCTGCATCAGTCTGTTTCATTTTCTGATTCATTTATTAGCAGGATGCCCAATGTTTGAGTGGAAAAAATATTGGGGAATGTTATTAATTAAAATAAGTAGTTCATCCAATTGAAAGAACCTTCTGTCTCTTTATATTCATGAAAAGAAGTGCTTGTTTTAATCTTTGTTAAAGCTTGTTTTTCTGAAATACAGTAATTCCTCCTTTAACACATGCCCGCTTAACACGTTTTCGCGATAGCACGATTTTTTTTTTAGGGAACGTTTTTTTGAATTACACGACTGTCCCCGGAATAACAAGATTTCCCCAGCCAGCCCATTGCCAGCAGCTGTGCAAGGCTTCCCCCACCTCCCTGCAAAGCGGCAGAGGGTTCGCCACTTGCTACACTGTTCCCCGCTGACTCCCCCTTGCCAGATGCCTTGCCCCCTCTCTTCTGCCCCTGCTTGCAGGCTGGCAGCTGGGTTTCCCCAGCCAGCCCATCGCTGGCGGCTGCCTGGGGCTTCCCCCGCCTCCCTGCAAAGCGGCAGAGGGTTCACTGCTCGCTGTGCCATTCCCCGGCGACCTCCCCCCTTGCTGGATGCAGTGCGGGTCCCAGCAGACCCATCACTGGGGCATACTCCCAACCCGATCCCCCTCTCCTCTCCTCCCCTTTCCTTCCCCAGAGCCAAACACCTCCCCTTCCTACTGTAACCCAGTCTCCTTTCTCCCCCGACCTTATGTCCTGGTCCCAACAGACACCACCGCTTGAAACGCAACCCCCACCTTTTCCATTATTTTCAATGGAAAAATTGACTCCGCATGACACGTTTTCACTTAACACGATCATTTTCTGAAACATATCTATAGCGTTAAATGAGGAATTACTGTATACAGTTTGGGGGCAAACAGAGTCAAGTTCCTTTAAATAGAAAATAGATTTTTTCAAAGGCTTTTCTTTTGTTGCATAGCCTGTCCATGAAGTAAGACACTTCATGGAAGGGGCTAAATAATTTGTTCAATGTGAGAAAATAAATAAATGTTTAACAGAAGAAATGCCTCCCTGTAAAGCCTGCAAATTCTTCACTGCTGTATTTCAAATCAGGAACTCACATTCAATCCTGAGACATTTTGTGCTACATTGCATTTTGGCAAATTATTATTTCAGCATAGCATTTTAGTAACTTGGATCCAAAATCTTAGGCAAGACTGTTAATTGAATCCAGACCTTGCAAGAAGTTGTTACTCCAAATTTTCCATTGAAAGAGATATTTCTATTCTCCTAAGAGGAAATTCATGCTGTCATTTGGTTGACTTTCAGCAACGAATCCCACTTAACGGGAACTAATTGCTCAATTTTCTCAAAGTACAAAATATGTTGTTCTGAATTGTGCAACAGTTACCTAAAGGAGCCAAATAGCTCATCCTTGTCATTCATGGTGAAATAAAAAGCCCACTTCAAAGATTCAGGTAGTGTGATTAATTATTCTCCCTGGAAATCGTAGTTTTCAATGGAGTGTATTTGATTTAAATTCTTATTTTCTGCATTGGCTTGATTATATCAGTTGACTTCCTTTGCAAGCATAATAAAGTCTAGTACCTAACATCAGATTTTGAATAACTGATTATTAAAATTAGGCACTAGAAACTTAGAAGAGCAATTCAACACTTCTTTTTTTCAAATTTAGTAGATTTTTTACAAGTAGGGAATTGCATTACTATGCCACATAGACAAAATTCTGGCATTGCAAAATACAAGCATTCATAAATCACGATTAAGACACCCACACACACATACACAAATTCAATGAGATTGATATAAAAACCATGGGAGGTTAAAAAGTAAACTTTGAAATAGTTTTGTTTGACTTCTGTTTTTTAAGCTACTCAACCTCAACTATGTCAGTTGCTTCTGAAATAGCTTAATTCGGCTTTTAGTGCTGTCTGCACAGCAGAAAACTCTTCCTTTGACTTCCCTTATTCCTCATGAAATGAGGGTTACCATGAGTCGGAGTAAGAAGTCCTCCAGCTTGACATTATTTTGAAATAAAGGCTTGTAGTGTAGATGCACAATGTATTATTTTGAATAATGTCAGTTACTCCAAAATAATCCTGCTGTGTAGGTGTATCCTGTGTGTCTGATGTTTTAGGAGATTATGTAGAGCAAGACAAGGAAGATTTGGGGGAAAAATCCCTTTTCTTGTGTACTGGGGAGTAACAAATGTTGCTTCCCTTTGGAAACTGCAGCTTCCATTGTAGGTATCCTACACTTTGTAGTCATCCAGTCCATCTGTACTGCATGTGATATCATAAACAAATTACCCAACATTTGGTGTGTTAAGGAAATAGCCAGGTGTGACTTAGTTTGTGGTTTAACTACCAGTGTTATGAAATCTTATTTTGTGAAGTTAAGCTATTTTCTGTCAGTGTCTCTCTCTTTCTCAGAGGTGGTGGGAGCAAAGCCTGTTAAGCCATCTTTAGGCCAGGTAGCTGAATTATTGAGAAACAGTGGGATTGTATTAATAATTGTTCATAAAAAAAATAATGGGAAAAAAAGATAATTAAACCAGACTGCTTTATGTAAATAATACATTAAAGTTTGATCTGATGGAGTAGTACATTCACCCAAAAGGGACGTTAAATATTGGTTAGTTGAATAGTCAGGTAACCTCATGAATTCTTATCAGTTACTCGACTATTCTATAGTCCCTGGAGGTCAGGCTGGCAGCCAGTGCACTTTGGCTCCACTCTCAAAGAGCCCCCTGCCACTCCATGCTGCTGCCTCTGTATCAGAGACAGCAGCGTGGGGTACCAGGTGGGAGCTGGTTCACAAGAGGAATCAATTTAAAAACCAGTTCCCCTCATGGACCGGCTGCCTGTCACTCTGCGGTGCTGCCTCTGATACAGGCACAGCAGCACAGGGAGGCAGCAGCCGCTGTTCAGGATGGAGTCTGACCTCCTGGACCTGGCGCAAACTGGAACTGAACCAAGTTGCCTGCCTGTCTGTATCCTGATACACTTTAAATGCAGGTCCACAGAAGAGGTAGGTCCCAGACCTGGCGCAAGCTGGGACTGAGCTGCGCGGCTGGCCAGCCTACTAAAAAATGTACTGGCAAGGGAGGGGAGCGGGGAAATGTATGTTGTCTATAGCATTAACTGGTTAATCAACTATATTATTACATCCCTAACATTGTTTTTAATTATCCTGCAACTAAAACCCCACTGTAGACTTATTATGCTATAGATATAGAAGTACAATGATGCATTTGAAAAACCTGTTATTAAGTATGATTATTCTTCAAAAAACATTAAGGAATAAACTGAATCTTGCTCACTTTGCTCACATACATAAATATTATTGGGACTAATAGCATGAACAAGGCTTTCCAGAGGTTGACCTGTGTTAGTTTGTGAATTAGAACAAGAGAAGATTAGTCTATATATTTTATTTAAGTGATTTGTTTCTCAATGTTTTTAGATTGCACTCCTTATTTTAATTCAGTGGGAAAACATGTGATTGGAGATGTACAAAATATAACAATTAGCCAGTATGCATGTTCTGAACAAGTTGCAGTTACAATCCTTTGGACAGCAAATCTACTTGGTAAGTGTTAGAGAACAAAACAGTTTAACTCACCATCTCTTTTGTAATAATCTCTTAATGATTATATTAATTTAAAATTACTTGTCTTTTCTTTTCATGTTAATTAAGGCCTGATTAATGTAACTGAGTTATATACACAACAAGCGTATACTCTGTTGGAATGTGTGTTCAGCAAACAGGCTATTACAATTTTATTTTTTTAAATAGTCTCATATTTCTACAAGCAAAACATAACCTTAAAATAATTTTATACCATTTAAACAGTTACAGTTTAAAAAAATATAAAAGTTATTAGAGATATAAAATCCCATTTAATTAATTGACCACTTAAACGTTAAGTTTAACCAGTTAACTGATTAAAATGGGTGCGGGTACTCTGCTTCCAGCCCTGCGCTGGGCTGCCGGCTCCCAGCCCATGCATCTGGGAGTTGGCAGCCTCGCATGGGGCTGAACACAACAGCTGGGAGATGAGGGGGAGACTTCTAGCTCCTGGCCTGCATGGTTTGGAAGCTGGAAGCCCTCCGCCCATGGCAGACGACTGCCAGATAACGGTTAACCATTACCCAGGAATCATCATCCATTAAGGGTGACGTCTAACAGATAACCGGTTTTGAAATTAAGACAAAAAATGGTTTCTGTTACCCCCTACTGTTCCCCCAGCCTCTTAACTTTGAATTTTTTGCATTTATTGGTTAACTACAGATGCTTTGGTGTAATTAGTTCTGTATCAGAATAGGTTTTGGTATTTTGTTTATTCCCCATAAAGGATTGATACAGTGTCAATATGAATATGTATGGATTTATCTACACTTGAAGTGCCACAGTGGCACGGCTTCAGGATAGACACCACCTATGGCAGCGAGTGGGTTTCTTCCATTACCATAGGTAATCCTCCTTCCTGAAAGATGATAGCTAAGTGGACATAAACTGCTCAGCACTAGGCAAACAGAAGACTTTTGACTTGTACCAGAGTGTTTTTCACACTTCCTAGAAACATAGTTAAGATGACTTCGTTTTCCAAGGCTATGTTAAAATGTTACGACCGTACAGGCTGGACCTCCTTTTAAGGTTGCCAGGTGTCCGGTTTTGAACCGGACATTTGAGTAGAGCTTTCTGTTCGGGAAACAAATTGAAAAAATATAAATGAGAAAATATAAATGTCTGGTAATTTCTAAATAAGATGTAATGTAGATTGTGATGTAATGTCAAGTGTGTCCAGTATTTTTGTTGAGATCATCTGGCAACCCTACCTCTTTTGTCCAGCACCCTCAGGACCTAACTGGTCCTGAATGAGGGGATTTGCTGGACCAGGGGAGGTCCCTGTTCTTATGGCCCCCATGCTGCCCTGCTGCCACCAGACTATGGCAGCCTGGCCCCCTGCTGCCTCAGTCCCAGGGCTTTCTAGCTGCTGCTGTCCCCGCTGCTGCCAGAGCTGGAGCAGCATAGCCGGAGCTGGGGCCAGAGCTCTGCAGCTGCTTGTCTCTGCAGCCGAGCTCCGCAACCCCAGCAGAGCTGTGGCTGGAGCTCCATGGCCACTGCCGGGGTCACAGCTCCCAGGCTGCATCTGGAGCTCCCCAGCTGCTGAGGTTAGGACTCTCCATCGTGCTGCCCCTCCCACTCGCTGGTAATCCATACCGTGTTCCTGCCCCGCCACCAGACGTTCCTGTTCCTGGGTTCTGTGGTCCAGGAATATCCATAGTCATGCCGGACCATGGATGTTGCTGGACCAGAGAATCCCAGTTAAGGGAGGTACAACCTGTAATTGCTCTGTTTGCAGTGCTACAGTTCAAACCCTGATCTCAGCCACTCAATAGTTTTTTCTTTTAAAAGAAATGAACTTCTCATTATGGATTAAGATTTTGCAAACTGAGTACAAAGCATTCAAAACGTCATTTCTTGAACATGTTTAATATAAAAACAAGCAATCTCTTGAAAGCTGAATACAGTAATTCCTCATTTAACACGTGCCCGCTTAACACATTTTCGCGATAGCACGATTTTTTTTTTTTAGGGAATGTTTTTTGAATTGCACGACCGTCCCCGGAATAACACGATTTCCCCAGCCAGCCCATTGATGGCAGCTGTGCGGGGCTTCCCCTGCCTCCCTGCAAAGTGGCGAAGGGTTCGCCACTTGCCATGCAGTTCCCTATTGACTCCCCCTTGCCGGACACCTTGCCCCCTTTCCTCCACCCCCACTTGCAGGCTGGCCTGTCGCCGACAGCTGCGCAGGGCTTCTCCCGCCTCAGGTTGCCGGCCCATTGCCAGCGGCTGCGCGGAGCTTCCCCCGCCTCCCCGCAAAGCAGTGGAGGGTTCACTGCTCACCGTGCCGTTCTCCGGCAACCCCCCCTCGCCGGACGCAGTGCGAGTCCCAGCAGACCCGTCACAGGGTCATACTCCCAACCCAATCTCCCTCCCCTTGCCTCCCTTTTCCTTCCCCAGAGCCAAGCACCTCCCCTCCCTGCTGTAACCCAGTCTCCTTTGTCCCCCAACCTTATGTCCCGGTCCCAACAGACACCACCGCTTGAAACACAACCCCCACCTTTTCCATTATTTTCTCTGCACCCCAATTTCTTGCCCTAGTCACAACCAACACCCCTGCACCCCAGTCCAGTGCTCCAGGTCACAACTGCCTCCTTCACCCAAACTCCCTCCCAGACCCCACGCCTGCTCCTGCACTGAAATCCCTTATCTCAGGCTCCCTTCTGCATCCAAGCTCCATCTCAGGCCCCGCACCTCCTCCTTTAATATCATGGAAGAGTGCAGCCCTTGACCACTTTCCAAAATCTTGGAGTGCCCCATCCCCCATCAAAAATTATTGCCCATCCCTGATCCAGACACACTAATCCAGTGGTCTCATAAATGAAAGGAACACGATATGGAAGCAGCACTTCCATTCTTTGCGAACAAAAATGTTACAAAATTGTTTTTACTGCTAATAATGGCAGTGAACAAAAATTATTGAACAAAGTGAACAAAAATTATTGAAGCTGCTGCTGCTGTTGATTTTATTTATTTGTATTATGGTAAAACCCAAAGGACCAATTGAGGTGAGGACACCATTGAGTAAATACTATACAGACACACAGTCCAGAAGAGCTTAAATTCTAGATAGACAAGTCAGAAAAAATGTTGGGAGAAGAATTATTATTATTTATGGCCAACTGACAGGTACGCAAACACCATATATAAAGGTGATAGGGATAGTTAGGGCTTGTTTTTTAATAACTATAGTACTTTAAAACTGCACCACACATAGTGAAATGTGGTTTTGAAATGTTTGTATTTTAATTAAACATCTGCAGGGATTGAATTCCTGAAAGGATTTCGAGTAGTACTTGAAGAGTTAAAATCAGAGGGAAGACAGTGTCAGCAAATGGTTTTAAAAGACCCAAAGCAGCTCAACTCTGGTTTTAAAAGAACAGTAAGTGATGTGCTTTAGGGAAAATTTCATTATTGGTTTGATCCTGTATGTGGGCTGAAAAGAGACATTTGTGTTTTCTTAATTTTTTTTTAAACTTGCTATTTACTAGCCAGCAATTTCTTTTTTTAGTCATAATCTTTTTAATTTTGGGGCAAATCTAGCCCTCACTCCCTGTCACTTGAGGTTGCCCTGTTGATGGAACCAGCAACTTCACTGCAGTGAGGAGGAGGTTAATCTGAGGAACCATGTAGCAGGTGGGCACTCCTTTACCAGTGCAGAACCCAGCTGGGCTTCCTGCAAGCAGTAGACAGTTGTCAAGAGAGGGTGAGGTCATAGGATTCCTAAAACACTTAAATTTCTGTTCATGTCCAGGAGAATTGTGGGCTGTGTTAAAATAGTATCCTTAAATGACCATGGCAGATTACTTAAGCAAATATCACTATATCATTATGTATATTTGTTTTTAGGGAATGGAATCTCAGCCTTTCCTAAATCTGAAATTTGAAACTGATTATTTTGTAAAGATTGTTCCTTTTCCTTCCATTAAAAATGAAAGTAATTACCACCCATTTTTCTTCAGAACTCGACGTAAGTATCATGCATATCATCTTCCTCCTCTTTACCCTCCCCCGTTTTATTTTTCTTTCTTTACAGCTTGACTACATTTAAATTACTGTAGTGGTGCCCCATAATTCTCATTTTAGTATAGGTTCTCCACCTCCCTAAGTAACTAAATTGATGTGAGAAGTCTCACTAGTACTGTCCTCATCAAGGGTTAGGTTGGTTTATCTGCATCTTTCAGAGGTGTAGAATTTTCACACCTCTGAGCAATATAGTTATACAGACCTAATTTCCTGTTGTAGATCTGGCCTCAGTCAGGAAAACAGAAGAGGCAGTATTTAAGGGGATAAGTTGCTGGAGAGGAACTACCTGCTGTGAGCGTAGAGCTGAGGTTCACATTGAGGCACATAAAATGAGTTTTCAGACAACAGATTGGTCTATAGTGGACAAAAGTCCAAATTATAAAACCACTTCAAAGAAATGGGCAAAAGTAGTAGTCTGTGTAGCAGAGGCCTGGAAAAGAATATCCATATATGGAGTTAATCCAGAATAGCTATTCTGAAATAGTGATAGACTATTTTCTTCCATTATTTGATCTGAGGAAGTGGGTCTGGCCCACGAAAGCTCATCATCTAATAAACCATCTTGTTAGTCTTTAAAGTGCTACATAGTCCTGTATTTTATTCTGAAATAGACATCATGGTCCATTTTTCTTATGAGGACAAGCCTTAAGTGCCTATATTTGGGCACAGGCACATAACTTTAAGTACAGGGTTTTTTAAAAAAAATCTTGGCAATCGTTTTTTTTCTTCTTCCTTGCTGAGAACATGCACATTTCAGGATTTTCTTTCCTCTAAAATGTTTTTAAAATAGTTTAAATAATTTTTCTGAAATGATTTGGTATTTCCAGTCTGCTTTTGTGATGCTGACTAATATAACATTTTAATTATAGTCCAATAAATGTGTTTGTGATAAGTTAGCTTATTTCAGCCATACTCACATATTGCTTATTTTGGAGAAACTAGGTAGGCTGTTTTTGTGTGTGTAAAGGTGGAGAGTGATTTGAGCAGTGACAAGAATGCTGAGCTTGCTAAATATGGCAAAATCTGAAATATCTGGGGAAATGCTACATAATAAAAATATGAAATTGCTCCCATTTTTCTGCCTTTTATTTCCTCTTTCTCTTTATGGATTATAGCAGTTGAATAACCTAATCTTTATCATTAATACTCCTTTTGTATGTGTGTTTGTAGCATGTGAATTGTTGCTACAGCCAGAAAACCTTGCCTGCAAACCCTGTAAGTAAAATATAGTATTTTCCATTCATTCATGTTCAAAATTTTCATGGTTCATGAAATAATAGTTTTCCAATCCATAAATATCTCTCCTCTGACAGTCTGGAAGCCCAGGAATCTGAATATTACCCAACAAGGTTTTAACATGCAAGTGTCTTTCGATCATGCACCTCACAACTTCGGCTTTAAATATTACTATCTTCACTACAAACTTAAGGATGAAGGATCCTTTAAACAAAAGACCTGCAGACAAGTAAGTTTTGCAAATCCTTTAATGATTTGTAGTAATTCTTAAACATTCTAGATGACCTTAGCGTTTCACATGTTTATAAAATATAAAGGATTTTTACATTATTTGTATTTTGGTAGTAGCTATTGGCCCAAACCAAGACTGAGGCCCCATTGTGCTAGATGCTGAATAAATACATGACAAGATGGTGTCTTTGCCCCCCAAAGGGCTACAAATTAATTAGCAGATTTAATTGTACTTGAATTTATCATTGTAATTCATATTTTCCTCTTTTATATGCTTCTGAACAGAATTTCACTTCCTTAAATATTGTCAACTCCCCAAGGTGTTCCTCCTTGTAATTAAACTATTAAACTTCCTTTCATGTGTAGAAGAGAGATGAGATGGCATTGGTGGATGAGGAAATTATAGCTTGTGGTCTCTGTGGGCCCAATACAAGTGCCATTCAGACTCTGGGTGGAGGGGTGGAATCTTGTCCAAAGCAAGAGAAATGGGAAAATTTTGGTGTTCTGGAATAATTCAATCTTTAGTAAAAATCTTCTTATGTTGTTAGAAAAATACACAGAGCTGATGCCCTTCAGATCTCTGATGAGAAATGAAGTGCTAAAGTCAGAGTTAACCAAAAATAAAATCATAAAGGACAATGCTTTATAGGAAATGTGTATCACAGAATCATGGCAATGATGTAGGTTTATTTTGCTGAACACTGGGTAGTGTTTCATCTTTCCTACTGGTATTGTTGGTAAGTTGACATGTATCTATTATTTAGTGCATGTCTATACTAGGGAGCTTACGATGGCACAGCTGTACTGATGCAGCTGCACCACAATAAGATCTATGTCAACATAATAAAGCCACCTTCATGAGCAGTGGTAGCTACTTGTTATGTTGGCAGGAGACACTCTCCCACTGACGTAGTACTGTTTACACTGGTGCTTCTGTCAGTGTAACTTATGTCATTCAGGGTGTGGGGTTTTTTTACACCCCTGAGTGACATATATGCCAACAGACATGATATTGTAGACAAGACCTTTAAACTGGGTGAGTGGATAGCATAACTGTCTATTGATACAGTCATGTCAGTATGTTTAAAGTTAGTTTCCAATTTTATTACCCTTTTTTGTTACCGTAGGATCCAGTGTGTTCTAGGCGATATGCAGACATTTAGGGAAGTACAGTACTTGCTCATCAGAGTTTACAATATAAATCTTTAGGCCAAATTCACTGACATTCTGTTATTTGTGAAGATATTTACACAACTGTGAAGGTGCTGCGAAATGTGCCCAAATATTGCGCTGATGTGAATGTCTACATAAGGTGCAGAGCAGAAGGGAATCAGACCTTTAGCGATTAGAGATCACTTATTAAGGTAGTTGCTGTCTGCTGAGTTGTTTTCATTTTGTCAGTTAAATACTCCATGGCAGGTGGTGGTTTGTTCAGTGATGAGTGCCTGGTGCCTGATCAGCCAAGCAGGCCACCAGATCCTGAGGTTAATGAGCTTCAAGGTATAGTGTAGAATTTATTTGTTACCTGAAACTTTCATAGGCCTTTGGTGGCCCGATTCCAGTTCTGAGACATTTGAGTAGAAAGGTTTGTATTTCTTTATCAATCTTCAGTTGGGTTTTGTTTGATAGAAGGTGCCTGTGTACATGGTGGAAATGTGAATGTCCAAATCAGTAACATTGCTGTAAATGCATTTTCTGTTAGCTTTATAAGACATGTGAACTACTTTTAAAATTACTTTCTTCCTTTTCTTTACAGGAACAAAGCATGGATATCACAAGTTGTGTTCTTCAGAATGTAGCTCCAGGGGATTACATCATTGAGGTAATATTTGTGAAGAGTTAATTCAATGCAGCTAAAGAAGTAAAATAATAAATTAGTTGCAAATAAAACATGGAGAGTCTCATTCTGCTGTAATTTAAAGCCTCTGCACCCTCACTGAATTCAGTGGGGCAAATTCATTTTTAGGTCAGATCATGCTTGGGCCTTGCTTGGCTGTGCAGTAGTGGAAAAAGAGCAAAAAGCACCCCCTGTGTTGCATCTTCCTCATGCAGAAGCCAGGTACAAATCGCAATCTCTCTGCTTTCCCAAGCACTGGTCACTGCTGCATTTCTTCTGTGCACCAAACCAAAATCCTAATCAGAAATATGGAGCTCTGACCCCTCTTAATTATATAGTAAATGTTGCTTTTTTTCTTTAGTTTTAAATAATAATAATATACCATAACCTCAGAGTTATGAACTGAGCAGTCAACCATACACCTCATTTGGAACCAGAAGAATTCAATCAGGCAGCAGCAAAGACAAAAGGGGAAAAAAAGCAAATATAGCACAGTACTGTGTTAAACATAAACTATTAAAAATAAAGGGAAAGTGGTATTTTTCTTCTGCATAGTAAAGTTTCAGAGCTATATGAAGTTAATGTTCAGTTGTAAACTTGAAAAATCATAACGTTTTGTTCAGAGTTATGAGCATTTCAGAGTTACAAACAACTTCCATTCCCAAAGAGTTCATAACCCTGAGATTCTACAGGAAAGAAAACTCCTAAACAAAGACTCTAGGTGGCTTGACAACATATTACCGAGACAGTGTTTAAAAACAAACAAACAATCAGACAAGGAAAAATAGCACAACTCAGCCACCTCAGGCAGGCAGCTTAAAAAACCCAGCTCCTTCTTACTCCACTACACCATCATTCCACTAACAAACCTTTAATCCTGTTGCAGCATGACTGAGAAGTCCCTAAATTGTGGCTACTTCAGACCAAAAAATGAAGTGGGTTCCTGAGTCCTGAACCTCTCGCAGGGAATGACCTGTCTTGCTGATAAGGGGCATACTGTTCAAATGTCTCTGCTGACCACAACTTGGCAGTATGTCATGGAATCAGATGTAACTGGCATCTTAGGCAGCAGGTCCCAGGGTGTTTAGGACTTTAGGGATTCTAACCAGCATTTTAAACTGTACCCTGGGACCAGTAAACAGCCAATGCAAATTCGGGAATACCTTATACAATATGCTTCTAGTGAGATCCTCTATTCAGTAAGCAAGCTGCTGTGTTTTGCACCAACTCATGGCTGGTCTACACTACGGGGTAAAGTCAACCTAAGTTATACAATTACAACTATATGAATAATGTAGCTGGCGTTGATATACGTTAGGTCGACTTACTGTTGTGTCTACACCATGCTGGGTCAACAGGAGAAATTCTCCCATCAATTTATCTTAAGTTTCTTGTTCTGTTGGAGTACTGTAGTTGATGGGAGGATGTTTGGTGGTCAATTTAGCCTGTCCTTACTAGACCTGCTAAATTCACCCCCAGTGGATTGATTACTGCAATGTGTATCCACCTGTAATATAGACTTCAAATGGTTTTACAATGTAGCCACATGGAGAGCACTTTTTAATATTCTAATCTTCAGATTAAAAAGAAAAAGCATGAATAGAAGCAGAAAGATCTGTGTTCAAAACAAAAGATTGCAACCTCCTGGCCAGATTCAAATGGTAAAAAGCTGACTGAGTCACTATTGTAATATGATCATTCAATAACATAAAATAATGGAATCAGGGGCTTTGGACCCAGTGAGGTAACTTGGGTCTTTGGATCCCTGAAGTAAAAGCTGTTTTATTTGAGTTGGGGTAGAAAAGGCAAAAATGTTCATGAAAATTTTTATTTAAAATGTTTTGTGTATTTTTGCTTATTGTGAAAAAATTGGCCATCTCCAATTTTATAAAAAATACAATGCCTATTCATATGACCTTTACCTCTTGCATCTCACTCCCATTCCTCCTCCTTCCGTCTTATCACCTATTTCCTTTGTCTTGGACATTCACTAGATTGGATTGTTTCCTTTTTTAATAGACCACTTTTATTTGAGCACAGTATTCTGGTTTTACAACAATATGATTCATACTTTACTCATCCCTGATCTTATCAGAAAAATAACTGATTCTAGGTACTTCTCATTGGTCATTTGCAATTAGTGACCTCCCTTAGTTCTGCTGACCAGGATTATTGTAGTGTTTTTCACATTGCAAAATTTATTTTTCTATACCTTTTCCAGTATTTAAAATGAGAATTTTCTTTTTTAAAGCTGGTAGATGACACCAACACAACAAGGAAAACAATGCAATATGCACTAAAGCCAGGTAAAAATTTTCTTTTTAAAGTCAATATGTACTCATTTCCAGTGATAATTTGTGTAAAAGATAATTTGCCAGAATAATGGTGATAGTCAGGTCTAATGGGGTTTGACCATGTTTCTAAATGTAGACTCACTATGAACTGTTTGACAAAAAATAATATTGCTTTTGTATATCTGTGGTTTTTACTTCCATTTTTGCTTGTAAATAATTGCAAAGACAAATTTAGCAAGATAAAGTAAAGGAAGTATAAATATGATTTTGACTGTTAGTGGTTTTACATCAACATATTTTACAACTAGGAATCCTTACTGGAAAATAATTTTTGCTGTATACACTAATGTGAAAAATCAGGTTAAAAACTGATAAGACTGTATCTTAGTCAAATGCACATAGTAGCTGGCAAGCAGAGTGTGGAAATAGTGACATGCAAACATGTAAGCAGCCTAAATGTAGCACTTATGTAGTTACACACAAAATAAAGTTATACATTAGTTACCGTACATACAAGTTCTGGAAAGATCCCATGAGGAGATGAAGACTGTGGGTGACAACTTGCTCCTCAAGCAAAATGGAACTTTCAATCATAAGATTAGACTTATCTATGCAGGAGACAGAGCTTTCTTTGTGGCTTAATTTAAGACCACAGACCAAATTTCCTCAGACATCAACGGCCATAGAAACTTCACTAACTTCATTGCAATTCAAGTCTCATTTCTTCAATCTGCCATCTCTTAACATAAACACATAGCAGCATGTGCATTTAAAAAATAAATAGAGGCAAAATAAAATAGTTCTTTCCCTGGGGAAAGAATGAGACAGAACAAACCGCATGTAATAGATGTTAGTCACCTCATTTAATGCATTATTGGAAAGTGCTCAGATTTTAGCTGTATATTTGTATATTTGAAAATTATTTGATGACAATGTGCTGCAGTGGTTATCAGTACCAAGTTTGAAGATGAGGTTAGATAATGGCACCATAACTTGCATTCTAATTCTGCTTTATTTTTCGAAGTACATTCCCCGTGGGCTGGACCAATAAGGGCCATTGCCATTACTGTTCCTTTAGTTGTCATCTCCGCATTTGCAACGCTTTTCACAGTGATGTGCCGTAAAAAACAACAAGGTATGATGGGATTTTTGGTATGTTGTTTCATTTGAAGGAGAATTTGCTTATTGCAACAAATCTGAAGGGGAAAATAGGTTTATTTAAAATAGATTTCGTTATCATAAGAGCTTTTTTTTTTCAAACCCTCTACTCCCAACCTTTGCATCTACTCGAACTTATAGCAAACTTGTAAAACTTGGTGTTGATTTGCTCCCCTGAATAAATATTGTGTCTTGCATTATGACTTCATTGCAAAATCCAGCAGAAGGATAAGATAGGTTGTGTGAGAAGAAAACATATTTGGTTTGTTTTTATTTGATTTGAATGTCTATTAGTGAAAAAGTAGAGACGATATGGTAAGATTGTGAAGAGATCCAGAAGATGATATATTTTAGACTATTTTCTCTTTCAATACAGAATTATTTAAGTGATGAATTATGGTGTAAGGAAAGTAATACCCTGAAGTATGCATGGAGACAGGTGTTATTCCCAGCCTCGTATGGAACAGAATCTAGTTTTAAGTTACTTCCCCTTCCTGGTTGGCTAAATTCAGAATTCAGAGAACAACAAGAAAACCTCTTAAATCTCAGCCTCATCTTTCTCCTTACATGTGGCTATTCATAAGTTTTTCCAGCAAATACCTCCTAAGTTAGATACCAGCAACTTATGCTCACTTCTACCTTTTCTGTATCAGATGTAGAGCTTGCAAGCAAATACGCACCACGCCAATTTATAAGGAATCAGTCAATCCTATGATTTCATGGAGTGATTAGGTTTCCCCATAAAAAATATGGGGTTTCAACCCCCAATCCTCACAGATCTGTGATATCGCTCAAAATCTTGGGGATGAGGGATACTGCAGATGGCAGTGGCTGAGTCCGTTTCCCTTCTGGGTCTTTCTGGCATGTTTGCACGGCTCCATCAAAAACTGAGATGAACACCACAGAGAGATATTGCACGTGTTTCTGAAGGGTATCAGGCCAGTATCACTGTTTAAAAGAAGCCCATTGTATTGCTTAGCAGGAAACGCTCACGGGGAAGCATGTTTGAGGTTCCTAAACAAAGAAGTAAGGCACTTATGTCAGTACTGTGGTCTTTGCATAGTCTGTAATTATCCATGCAAAACATCTTTCACCGCAGAAGCTGAAAAATAGAAGTAGAAGAAGGGATGTAACTTTTATTATTCAGGAAAGGAAGGGAAAGATGAATGTCGTGGGATGAAGAGCCTTTTACTATAGGGTGCAATAATAAATCTATCTAGAATAAAGAATTTTTTTTTATCTTGGATAGTATGAAGATTTTCGTGTTTTTTCCTTTCCAATTTAGAAAATATATATTCCCATTTAGATGAGGAAAGCTCAGAATCTTCCACATATGCTGCAGCGCTCCATGTGGAAAGGCTCCGTCCCCGACCAAAAGTGTTCATCTGCTATTCCAGTAAAGATTGCCAGAAACACATAAGTGTCGTTCAGTGCTTCGCTTATTTTCTTCAGGACTTCTGTGGCTGTGAGGTAAGATAATCACTTCTTCTTTTAATGTTTAAAATTGCCTTATTGGAAAACATTACTCCCAAAACTCATGGTAGCCTAGCCCTTGAAAATATTTCACCTAAACAGATTCTCAAATATCTTTTTGCTAAACAGAGTAACTTTCACTAGCGTCAGGCAAAATTAATATAGGGATCTTCTACTATGTACATTTTCTCCGCTTAAAGAAAAAGGCAAACCAAATAATACATCAGCCACAGTATTATAGAAAATTTGTGTCAACCCTAGTGATGTCATTCAGCTGTCCATAGCTCTTTATATATTAATTTCCAAAAGCACATGCACATATTATGCTTGTCTGGTTATCAGAGTTTAGATCTTCTGTAGATTGCACAGCCATGCTATTATGTGTCTAATCTAGTTTAGTATTTCTAAGGCACCTCTTATGATGGTATTGAAGCAGTGATCTCATACATGCACATTTGAATCAATCAGAAATCTTGTCCAGAAGAAGGATTTATGCAATACACACATGGTACACAGTAAAACCTTGCTAATTTGAATGAACTCTGAAAATTCTATATCCTCCTCAATGACTTTTTTTGTATTTTTTCTTTCTTTTGATTCTATATGAAAACATCAAACAGCATTTTTAATAAATTTAAAAAACAGCAAATAGTCTGGTAGTACTTTATAGACTAACAAAACATGTAGATGGTATCATGAGCTTTTGTGGGCACAGCCCAATTCTTCAGATGACCGGAGTATTGAGTTTGGGATGTCCAGACCCAAAATAAATAGGGGAGAAAGGAGAAGGAGAGAGGGGAAAAAAATGGAAGGGGGTGGGAAACAAGAAGCAGATATGTAAATATCAAAGGGAAAACCAAAAAGGCAAAACTGGTACTCTATAAGCACCTAAAAATTGGATAGTTAAAAGAAGCAGATAAGAATCATAGGATAGCAATTAGAGAGGAAAAGTACTAGCACAAAAAATCTACACAGATAAAGAGCTGTTGGCACCTTCATTATTTGTTTGGTTGATCATGTTCCAGCATTTTTAATGTCATATAAGAATATGGTCCAGGCCTATATCTTATTTTTTAACTCTTTCTTTGATTCAAAATGATATCAGAAAAATATCAAAATAACAATATGATTGACTAGGTTCAAGTTTTCTGGCTATTTTCTGAATTTGAAAATGTAACCAAAAGTTCATTTTTGAAAAGGCAAAACAGTTATTTGTTAACAGAAACTATGTGGGATTTCTTTTGTTAAACTGTAGTCCAATCAAAGTCTAGTTAGTATTATGTATGAATTCAAATACTAGTATTCAGTCACATAGCAAGTGTGTCCCCTAGTGGCAAAACACATTATTTAAAATCATTGCTTGTTTTGATATTGTGCTTCTGTTGTTTTGTTATATTAATAATTACTCATACTTAAAATAGGATAAGATGTCTTATGTTCAGTTTGTCTGAATTACTTTTTTCAGTTATGACTAATATAGCATCAACACAGCTACATAGAATAGGAGTTAAAGACAAATGCTTTTTCCGTAACACTTCTGGGATAATTAAATATTTTGTAAACAAAGCAAAAATAAAGGCTAACTAGACCTAGATAAAGATAGAATATGTACCAGTAGGATTTAATGTGAAAAATAAAGTTCAAAAGATGGCAATGAAGGTATGTGTATCTATGGGCTATAGCAGTGTTTCTTAAACTTTTTAAGACTGAGGAACAGCAAACTATGGGGAGCACCAAGGATTCTTTTTTTCAAGCAAAAACAAAACAAAAAATAGCCCCCAAGGAAAATGTGTGGAGCAAAATAAAAAAACAACAACCATTGGACCAGGAGGGACGGTAGAGGAGGGTCTCGGGGCAGAGTGTCTGCCCTAGCCAGGAGGGAAGGTAGAAAAGGGGACTTGGGGTTTTGGCAGGGTGAGGGGAGTGACGGGGTTTGGGTGCGGGGTGTGGGCATGAGGGGGGACGCTTACCGGACCGTGGCACCCTGATGCAGCAGGGAAAGCCTCCAGGGAGCATGCTCTTGTTCCTGGGGGGGGAGGAGGGGTTGGAAAGCTCATTTCTCCCCCCCGCCCATGCAGCGGGGAACCCAGCGCAGCTGCAGCACTCGACCAGGCTTCCCGCTTGGGGGTTGGGGGGGGGGAGTAGAAACTCCGACCTTCCCCACCAGATTAAACTCTGCCACTTCCCCAGCAGGCTGGGGAGGGGCGTAGGGGAGAGAGAGCAGCAGAACATGGAGGGCAGCAGAGCCCGAGCATGCCCCAAGGCAGGGAGGGAGCAGAGCCCGAGCGCACCCCAAGTGGGTGGGGGGAGGGGGGGAGAACAGAGCCTGAGCCGGGTTCCCCACAGGCGGCAGTTTTAAAACGCGAAGTCTGGGAGTGGCTCCTCAGCTCCAGCCACCACTCTCCCTCCCAGTGGCCACTGTAAAAGCTGCCGCCTGCACACGTGGAGGAGGAAGAGGCGGCTGCGCAGCAGCGGAGGCCCCGTGGGACAGGGGCCATCCTGTGGGCTGGGGGGAAGGAGGGCAGTAACAGTGGGAGCTGTCTACGGGCTCTGCAGGAGGCGGGGGAGCAGAATTTTTTCTGTTCTCTCTGTGGCACACATCTGACTGCCTCTGTGCTGCGGAACACAGTTTAAGAAACACTGGCCTATAGCGTTGGATTATTATCTTATAAAAGGAAAGGGGCAAAGACATATATTACTGTTTAAAATACCTAATTATGCTAAAGTTAAAAAGAAACCTATTCATAATTACATGTAGTAGAAGCACAATTCCTGGACTCTTTGACAACTGCCCCTACATTTATCAAGTCAACATATATCCACGCTGTAAAGTGACACTGGATCCACCTCATCTCTCCAAAATTTATATCTATATTAATGTTTGGTTTTAGATCTGCATATTCTTACTACTGTAGTAAAATCATATGGGGAGGTAACAGAATATATAAATTACAGCAGATTCAATATGTTAATCACACAAGTGTACAATAAAGAACTGCATGTAGCGCATAGAGTGGAATTTTTAGAATGGGTTCATTTTCCTCTTTGACCAGGATGATGAATGGTCAATCACTTTGGATCATTCTTCAAAAATTTTCCAGAATTGTTTCTTCTTCACTAGTACTGACACCGCACTGTTTTTATTGCCTTCTTTGAAAGTATCTATCCAGTTGTTCGGCTTTATACAGGCAGTCCCCGAGTTACGCAGATCCGACTTATGTCGGATCCGCAGTTACGAACGGGGCCCATCTCCTTGGTCTCCAGCATACCAGGGAGAGGAAGCAAAGTGGCGGGGCACGCGGGCAGCCCAGACGCGTCTGGGCTGTCCGCTGCCCGCGTGCTCCTTGGCTTTGCTCTGCTTTGCTCCCTGTCTCCCTGGTCTGCAGACCAGGAGGACGGGGAGCAAAGCAGAGCAAAGCCGCGGAGCCCGAGGGCAGCAGGACAGCCACGGCGCGTCTGAGCTGTCCCGCTGCTCCCGTGCTCTGCGGCTTTGCTCCGGACGCCTGTGGTACAGCAGCTGGGGCGCTGCTGGTTGGTCCCGTAGCACCGCTCTGGGCGCTACTGGACCAACCCAACAGCACCCCAGCTGCTCTGCTCCAGGTGTCCCCAAGTCAGCCGCTTCTGAAACTGACCAGTGGCTGACTACAGGAAGCCCCTACCCCGGGCTTCCTGGAATCAGCCGCTGATCAGTTTCAGCAGCGGCTGAATCTGGACGCCAGTTCTGACTTACATACAGATTCAACTTAAGACCCCCAGGCATCCCCAAGTCAGCTGCTGCTGAAACTGATCAGCGGCTGATTCCAGGAAGCCCGGGGTAGGGGCTTCCTGTAGTCAGCCACTGGTCAGTTTCAGAAGCGGCTGACTTGGGGACGCCTGGAGCAGAGCAGCTGGGGTGCTGCTGGGTTGGTCCAGTAGCGCCGAGGAGCGGCAGCGCTACTGGACCAACCCAACAGCACCCCAGCTGCTCTGCTCCAGGTGTCCCCAAGTCAGCCGCTTCTGAAACTGACCAGTGGCTGACTACAGGAAGCCCCTACCCCGGGCTTCCTGGAATCAGCCGCTGATCAGTTTCAGCAGCGGCTGAATCTGGACGCCAGTTCTGACTTACATACAGATTCAACTTAAGAACAAACCTACAGTCCCTACCTTGTACGTAACCCGGGGACTGCCTGTACAGTTGTTCTTAGATTTGGTGCTAATGTGCTGTGGGGAAGAGGGAGTGCTCTCCAGCGGCTGCACAGGGAAGTTTCTAAATCCAGCATTGTGTGTCAACCAAGATGCTCTCTTCTTTTCTAGGTTGCATTGGATTTATGGGAAGACTTAAAAAATTGTAAGGAAGGGCAGAAAGAATGGCTTATTCAAAAAATCAGTGAGTCCCAATTTATCATCATTGTGTGTTCCAAAGGAATGAAATACTTTGTGGAAAAAAAGAACTGGAAGCACAAGGGATCAACCAGAGATGCTGAGAAAGGAGAACTCTTTCTGTTTGCCATATCTATCATTGCAGAGAAGCTGCGTCAGGCAAAGCAGAATTCAAATGACCTCTGCAAATTCATTGCAGTCTACTTTGACTACTCCTGTGAAGGTGACATTCCTGGCATTGTGGATCTAAGTACAAAGTACAAGCTCATGGATAACCTTCCTCAGCTTTACTCTCATTTACACTCCAGAGATCTGAGCCTTCAGGATTCCGAGTTGTACCCTGTAAATATTAGCAAAAGAAACTACTTCAGGAGCAAATCTGGACGGTCCCTTTATGTTGCCATTTGCAATATGCACCAGTTCATTGATCAGGAGCCTGACTGGTTTGAGAAACAACTAATTCCTTTTCCTCAACCTTCTTTACATTACCAAAAGCCTATGATGGAAAAATTTGACTCAGGCTTGGTTTTAAATGACTTAGTGAGTAAACAGGTGACTGATGGGGACTTCTACTTGAAAACAGATATAACTATTATCCCTGCTGTAAGTTCAGACTCTCACTGTATAATTCAGCACTTTAACCTTGGAGAAGATGCAGAGACTCGGGACATTCAAGATGGTAGCTGTGTTCTTCAGCCATTGTTGCATGTTGTAAAAGCAGCCAATCTTCCAGATATGCCCCGGGATTCTGGAATCTATGATTCTTCTGTTCCTTCATCTGAATTATCTTTACCTTTAATGGAAGGACTTTTGACAGACCAAACTGAAACCTCTTCCATTACGGAGAGTGTCTCTTCATCTTCAGGTTTAGGTAAGATGCAGTAATTTTTCTAAATCAACAATGGGTAACCTAGTGAGTGGGTCTCAGGAGTGGTCCTCTTTCATCTGAGTGGGCTGCAAGATTATCATAACCAAGACAGTCTCCAGGCATAAGGTAGTTTTGCTAACTGCGCTTGTGCACCTAGAATTTGTGGGATGTGCCAATTGAACGTTAACAGGGCTTTGATTAGATGCAGAGGGAGCATCTGGCTCTCTGTCAATGTTGTGTGCAATCAACATGAACCTCACTTCACATGCTCTTGTTTTACACATGTGTCAGTTGAGTAATATCAGTAAGAGGAAAACTACATGACTAGAAACCAGCGGAATTTGGCAAAATGTCTCACGGGCCACAGGTTGTTCACTAGTGTTCTAAATTGTATTAATACAAAATATTCACACATTTCTGTCCTACTTCTAGCAACATAGAATTAAACATTGAGTGTATAAAATACCATGAAATAAGGGACTATATAAGGAACTGGAGAGAAAGCTAGTTAACATACAAAGCTGGTCAAAAAGGCAAATGTTTTAATTTGGTGACTTAAAACTTTCATGAACATTTTTTAATGTTGACCATTCTCTAAACAAGTGGTCTCCATCCTTTTTAAGCATGAGATCACTTGTTGAATTTAAGTGCAATTCAAGATCTACCTCAAACCCAAATATACTTGCCCCGCCTCCTCCTTGCCCCTTCTCCGAGGTCCCACCCCTGCTCACTCCATAATCCCTCCCTCCCCCATCCTCCCTCACTTTCACCAGGCTGGGGCAAAGGGTTGGGGTGCAGACTGGTCTTGGATTAAGGGATTTGGACTGGGAGAGGGGTTCTGAGCTGATCTTGGGGCAAGCAGTTGGGGTACTGGAGGGGGTTCTAGGTGCAGGCTCTGGGAGGGCATTTGGATGCAGGGGTGCTCAGGGCTAGGGCAGGGGTCTTGGGGTGTAGGAGGGGGTTCATGGGATAGGGTTTTGGGTTGTGGGCTCCAGCTGGGCAATGATTATCTGCCACGCTCACCACTGTCCTAGTCCTGCATCACTCCCAAAAGCAGCCAGAAAACTCTGTGGAGGTAGGATACAGAGTGGGAGAGGGACACCTTGACATGAGCACCCCTCTTCTCCCTCCTCTAACCTGCACAGAAAGGAGGAGGCTCCTGAGAGGATAATTGTAAGGCAAAGAGCAGGAGATGTGCAGATGAAGTGCAGGCACTTGATAGCCACTTGGCCAAACTAGTCAGGATCACCTGTCAGAGGCTCCAAGATCTACCAGTAGATCAACTGGTTGGTGACCACTGCTCTAAACTTATTTAAAAAATGTAAAAAAGCATGAAACTTATTTAAATTTTGCAATTTGCATGTAACTCTAATAGAATATAAAATAGTGTCTTCCCCCAGCTGATACAGATTCATTACTGTACTGCAGTTAACTAAAAGCTCAGGCACACCTAAGGGTATGTCTACGCTACCCCACTAGTTCGAACTAGCAGGGGTAATGTAGTCATCCACAATTGCAAATGAAGCCCGGGATTTGAATTTCCCGGGCTTCATTTGCATAAAGCCGGCCGGCGCCATTTTTAAATGCCGGCAGTTCGAACCCCGTGCCGCGCGGCTATACGCGGCATGGAGTAGCTAGTTCGGATTAGGCTTCCTAATCCGAACTAGCTGTACTCCTCATTCCACAAGGAGTCAAGCCCTGTTAATTTGCATGAATTACATTATCCTCCTTTAGTTCCTTCTTAATTGAGACCCATATCAGCCCCTCCATTATCTTTCTCGGAATCAATGTCAGTTGTTACCTAAGTGACCCTGTTCACCTTTGGCACAACTTTAAAATTGGCACATTAGATTTCTTCTAGTCTACTAAAACTTCCCAAGTATTCCAAAACTTCCTGAAAATAAACAATAATGATCCAGTGAGCTTCTCTTCCAGCTCTTTTAAAACTCTTGGATGCAAGTTATATGGACCTGTTGATTTTAAAACATCCAGCATTGGTAACTTCTGTTTTATCATCCTTTGGAGATACTAGCAAAATAGAAGGAATGTTATCATCATCATATGAGGAGACTACATAATCAGTATGAGTTTTCTGTTCTCAATACACAGATTTTAAGTCAAGGCTAGTGGTAAATCTTCATGCAGTTATTAAATGTCTGTGCATTTTTCAGGACAAACTTTACCTTTCTCCTTTAAAGTAGGGATGTAAAATCCTGGTTAATCTGTTAATTAGTTAAACATTAGGTCAGCTGGGGACTCTGAGTCTGCAGCTGACCCCGGGCGCCATGTGGTGCTGCTACTTTGAAATGCTGCAGGGAGCCCAGAGTTGGGCTCCATGCAGCATTTCAAAGCAGCAGGACCTCATGGAGCCCAGGGTCAGTGAGGGAGTCCCCAGCTAACCCCGGGCTCCAAGCAGCGCTGGCACTTTGCAATTTCATGTGAAGCCCACATGGTGCTTCAAAGCAGCAGCGCTGCATGAATCCCAGGGTCTGGCCATGGGTTTCACGAGGCACTGCTGCTTTGTAGCATCCCCTCCTCTTTCTCTCCTTTCCCAGCTGCCTCTTTCTGATAGAGACAGCAAGGGCGGGGGAGGGGGGGCAGAGGGGGTAAGCATCTAATCAACTAGCATGTCAACTATCTGATAAGCATTTGCTTATTGGATAGTCAACTAATCGTTCATGTCCCTAATTCAAACTCCTGTAGATCTCTTAGGCTACGTCTAGACTGCAAGCCTCTTTCGAAAGAGGCTTTTTCGAAAGATACTTTCGAAAAAGCCTCTTTCGAAAAAGAGCGTCTAGACTGCAAGCAGTACTTTCAAAAAAGCAAGCTGCTTTTTCGAAAGAAAGCACCCAGGCAGTCTGGATGCTCTGTTTCGAAAAAGCCCTGTTTGCATTCAAGAACGCCTTTTTTTGAAAGATCACTTTCGAAAAAAGGCGTTCTTCCTCGTGAAATGAGGTTTTCCGCCGTCGAAAGAAAAGCCGCGTTCTTTCGATTTAATTTCAAAAGAACGCGGCTGTAGTCTAGACGCAGGTGAAGTTTTTTTCGAAAAAAAGGCTACTTTTTTCGAAAAAACCCTTGAGTCTGGACACAGCCTTAGCTCCTTCATTGGGCATGACATAATATTAGCCCATTCATCAGTGAGAACTTCTCTGAGTAGACCACAATGAGGAAAAGTTTACCTTAGCTTTTTATTTGTGATTACAGTGATAAGACTTGAAGAAAATTAATTGCAATATTAACTGGTTGTGTTCTTTCCACCATACAGATGACCAAGGTTCCCTCTAAGCTGGATGGCAGCACAGCCCTGCAGCTGCTTAATCAGACCCCACCCAGTCAGGCAGCTCCATGCAGGAAGCCCTGAGCCCGAGTGGGCTAGGGTGACGAAGCAACTGCAGGGCTGTGCTGCCACACAGCTTAGAGGGAACTTTGCAGATGACCGTTGTACAAATAAAAATTATCACTAATGAAAAAATAAAATGCTTTCTTTTCTTTCCCAGGAGAAGAAGAACTCCCTGTGCTCACTGCTACAAAATCCCTAGTCCCTGGAATATGTAAAGCAGAACTTCATTGCCACATCCATACCAATGAACTGGAGGCAATTGCACCTTTATAATAAGTTACAAGATTATTAAGCATTGCCACTTTATCAATATGTTCCGTTTGTTGTTACCCACCACATCACCCCAACTGCTAAACCCACTTGAAGGAACAAATGCTTCTTTGAAGGATATCTGCTATTGCTAAGGGACTTTGTGGCCAGTAGCTGTTTACCTGTAATTCTTTTTATAGACTCATTTTTTTTGAAAATGTAGCATTGAAAGAGATGAAGATACACTTTTAAATTACCAGTTTAAATTGCATGATGAAATTATATTCTTTACAGATACCACAATCAAAATAACTTCTAATATTTTTATTAGAAATATTTGTTACTGAACATACAATAATTAATCACATTTGGCTTGGTTTGTCGACCATCTTAATGGCACATTGTGTTTTCTAGCAGAAATTCTGGTTTTAAATGGTGAAATATTTAATGGTATGAGTGTGTTAGTAAATAATCAGTAGGGTTTTTGTGTCAGGAGTCATGATCTTAAAATGCCAAAGGCCAGACCTAGTAAAAGTATGAAAATGACCTGCAAATATAGAAATAATTACAGATGATTTTTATAGATTGTGCCTTGTGTTGTACTAAAAGCAGAATTCTTACTATTGTCCTTGTCTTTGGAAATTTAAAAATACTTGGGTCAAAGGAGGTAGAATAATTTAAGAGAAAATCCGGCTTCACGATTTGCAGGTGTGGAGAACTGTCAGGTTTGTGCAGTTCCATTGCAGAAGGGAGCAAAGACTGCCTGGACACCAGGCAAGAAGTTTGCAGCTGCTATGCACAGCAAAGCTAAGCTCTAGAGGCAGGTGACTGGACAGGTCACAGCCTATTACTTTGTGCAGAACTAAAGATTTGGGTGAATTCCTAGCTTCATTTAAATCAATGGCAAAATTATTACTGTCCTCAGTGAGGCCAGGGCTTCACCCTTGACCTTTAGCAATCATTTTCAGAGATGAATTGATGAATATGTTGCAAACTAACATTAGTATTTTCTTATTTTGCTACACAGTCCAGCTAATCTTAACCAGGTCTTGAAGTTATAGATAGTCTGGGGAGATACCACAATCAGATTAATTTTAGTCAAATATGTTTTTTTCCCAACAAGTAGTGGATAGAAGCCTAATTTGGGGCGGTGGAGGGCGGGGAGAATTGAAGACATAAGCTTTGTGTACAGACTGTAGAAAATAGCAAATCTCCATGGATTTTTATTTTTAATTAAATGGAAGCATAAAACTGAAAGAAATACTGTTTAATTTACTTTACAGTGATTATTTTACAAAGCTAGCCACTCTGATTTTTAAATTCAGAAAAATTGCATACATATGGGAAATGAAGATGGGGAATTACTACTGAGTTTGCAAGAATTCTGTTTTTCCCCTGAAGAGGTCATGAGCAAAAGATCTTGTAAAAATATTTTTAAAACCAAATATGTTGATATACATTCCAGAGATTAGTTTTCTACTATTTTCATGTGTTAGTAAAATCCAGACAGAATGTAAATGGTGAAAGAATCCCTTTTGTTACTACTAGACTCTACACATTGGTTGAAATGTGATAATTTTATGTGTTTATAAAATATAAATTTTTTCTGAAGGTGAAAAAGTGATAAGCTTAAGGATGCAAGATGTAGCTATATGTTCAACATTTACATCGATAGGTTTAGTTTCCATATTTTGTACATGTATATGAACTGTTGACAATAGACACCTCCTGATATCTGATTTTTATGATAGCATAATTTAGAAGTTAAAACCTCAAAATAAAAAGTCATAAGACATGGTCCTGTTACATTTTTTTTAAATATTTAAGTATGTTTTTTCATAGCAGTTCACTATGCTGCTATTATCAGATTAATATTATTGAATCTGAAGATTTCTGCCTAATTATTTTTATTCTTCTTCATATGTCACATTTAAGAGAGAAACTGAGAGACTTTTAATATAATCAAACAACTGTAAAAAACTATGGTTCGCTACAAGTTCTGTATAGGAAGATGGATTCTATCAATTTTTTAAGACTCTTTGTGTCTAATAATTGTAATTATTCTCTCTGTGCATTACCAGAAGGTCCCCCAGTAATACATGATTCTGTATGTCAAGTAAAATCTAATCACATCATCCAGAAAATGTGGGATAGTTTTGATTGAATTAGTTAGATTAAGAAGAAGTGAAAATGGTATAAGTTTTATATAGCCACTTTTTCATCCTAGTGAGTTCCAAACACTTGTCTAATGTATTCTGCACACTAAATGCTAAGAATAAAGACTTTTCAGGGTTTCAGATTGACCCTGTGTACTCTAAAAAAATTATGCATGAATATATAAGGGATGTTTTAAGTATTACTTGTTTAATTAGAGAAATAAATTGCTTGTAACTGTACTGGTATAAGAACACACAGTTAATTTTACACACTAACCAGGCTGAATGCATTGGTTTTGCATTTACAGTGGTGCCATCTTAATTTTTTTCATGTTTTTTTCTGAACACCTCTCCCAAAATTCCTGTAACAATGCATTCTGGGAGATTTTGGAAAGCCTCTAGTGCTGTGATGTCCAACCAGTGGCGAATTAGCAACACTCCACTGGCCAAGTAACTGCATATGGTTAGCATGTTGGACACCATGGTTCTAGTAAATTGTCACAGTAATGACAAGACTAGTTGAACCATTTCAGCTTCTCTACATTGACATTGGCAAAAAACAAGTTCATAAAGTGAGTTCATAAAGAACTGGTTAAACCTAAAATACTTATTAAACTGATTAAAGTATCATTTTGTAACTGATTATTGGACCACTTATAAACCATTTTTAGATAACTTGGGGCATGTGTGTATGGATGCAAATCATGCTATGAACTTTACCTGGTTTGGTTTTTTTTCAAAGATAGGCCACACCTATATGTGATCGGCTCTCTGCTGAAGTATTGAGCAACCCCGGAAGACAAGGTGAGGCTAGCATTCAGTGGCACACACATATTTAAAACATTAAGTGTCCTGCTAAAACTTGAATCTAGAAGATCTCTGTAAAAACACAATTTCAGTACTTCAAGTATAGGCATGTCTTTATCGGCTCCATCATGTGGCAGTTGTAATGCTCAATATAAAATCATAAAATAGTACAAGGTGGGGCTTCAGTTGGAGTGAGGAAAGCCAAGTATAGAATAACTAATAATGTGCTATTTCACATAATCTGGACTTTTGAGTATATTCAGAATCTACTGAAGTTGCTGGAGTTTTTAGAGAGAGTTTGCAAGTCTCCTTTAAACATTTATTCTTAAATGAATTTTAATATGAAATCAATTAACTATAAACCTAATTACTCATCTACTAAAACTAATAGAAATCTAGAATGAAATCCTGCCCTCCCCTTTGAAATCAATGATAATTTGCTCATTGGAGCCAGGATTTTACCTCTGATTTCAAACTATTGAGTCACATTTCACCTCCAAGTGCAGTGGTGCAACGTAATTGATTTCAGTGAAGTTTTCATGTTCATTTTATACACTCTGTTTTGCTGTGAATGCAAGAAATCCTATCATGTTCCATGTTCCGCCATTAAATGCGCAGAAGGGAACAACTGATCACAATCATACAACTTTTCAGTGTTTTCAATATACTGTATTGTTGCCAGTACGGAAAACACACCTTGACGATTGGAATTTTATTATTTGGTTGTTTTCTTTCAGAATGAAATGCCAGTGAAAACTTGTCCGACAATAAGAACTGGCATGAGTTAGAATTTTCTACTATATCTTGGTTTTCCTTTCCCTAAAATAAATAAAAAACAAGAAGTCTAACTTTCTTTTTTTTTAATCTTAGATTTAGATTATGTGGTATAACTTGCTGCTGAAGTTCCATCAGAATTGTTTGTCTATATGAGTTTTATATACATATATAAAATATACACATTACATAAAATTTTGAACATACAAATGATCAGACAATTATTTCTAAGCTGCTGGGCGTCAAAGATTAAGTAATATTTCAGTCAGAAAGTAACTTGCTGGAAATTATTTGGCTTCACTTGCAGTAAGTCCTCATCACAAGCTGTTCATGATCTCCATACTTGAACAGACATGATAGTAAATGTTTAACTCTATACATTTACAAGGATAAATTCAATTAAAGCTCAGTTGATAAAATGTAAATTACAATGAGTATGCCTCCTCTTTGTAGGAGTCATTATGCTGTAGGCTATCTATGAAAGAAAAATGTCATGTCACCTTGATTGCTCCAAAGAGGCAGGGAAGAAGATGTGCTTGCTTGTCAACGTCAAGAATATCCACTCTCTCCTGTATGATGAAAAACCATACCCTCCTGGTTCCAAAAGCTCCAGTTATCCCCTGTTTAGCTGCCAAAACCTCCAACTGTCCCAGCACTTTTTACCATGTTAAAGTGAAAATCTGTAATACTGAAAATCTGGGGATAATCTTAGTTAAGATTTTTTATAAAACTAAATAGCAGAAGGAATAATGCACTAATGATAATTTTCATATTTTATTAAGTGCTCCATTATTTAGTATGTGGGGGGAGAGGAGGAAGAGTTGCTCATAATTTTCTGGTTGTTGCCGCATTTAGAACTGGCATGCCAAGAAACCAGCCTACTTTTTTCAGGCCTGACAGATAGTATATAAGGCCTTGCTTATAGGTGGAAGATCTAATGGGAGGAAGGGAATGTGGTCCTGTTGGGTTGTTGCTTTTGCTGAAATCCCAAGTATTTACTGACTGTTGGCATGTAAATCAATGTATTGTATTTGGAAAGAGAGAATGTCATGATTATATGAGACAGGCAAATTTATTGCATAATTATTTATGGAATAGGTATTTTTATTCACACCTACAAAATACTGTGGAAACTGAGTATTAACAACCAACGCAGACTACTTATGCAATTTCAGTCTTAAAACACTTGGTTATAAATCATAGTCATATTGCTCACATAAGCTATTATCATTCTATGATAACCCACAAAGTGGATGATGGAGTTTTACTAGATCAAAAACATTTGACAGTGATATCCCAACATAGATTTCTAGTGAGGACAGCATTCCTGATTGACATAGCACACAGGGTCATGCAAAAAGAATAATGAGACTCATGTCATATTGATCACAAAATTAGAGTAATATAGCTGTATGGAGGGGTAAATCCTGCACCTGCCCAGAAAAGTCCCTGGCAGCAAAATTAGAGAAGTGCAATGGGGTACAGCAACGGAGGCCAGAATTTGGGCAGCAAGCTTGCATATCTTCTGTGGCATGCAACTCAGCTGTGGTGCAACATCCTGACCTTAGCAGGCATGGGCTTGTAGGTATCAAGGCCAGGTGTGATTTTTTTTTTAAATAAAAAAAACAAAGCATGTAAACCTTTGATTGCAAAGTGATCCTTTCAAATAAAAAATCAAGGCTGTGATATCTTCCTGAGTTTGTAGTAGGATAGACAGTAACAATACCTCACACAGGTGTGAAGTGTCTCCATTTTTTCCAAGTAGGAGTTTACTCCTAAGCATAATGAGGATAATCTAAATGCCAGTAATGCTAGACATGTCATTGTTGATCATTTGAGCAAAAATGTCTAGCTGTTCCTATCAACTGTAGCTGGATACAGTAGTGGTTACAGCTACCAGCACCCTGTTCTCCCCCATATACTTTTCATATTTTAATAGTTGTAAATAGTAGAGTTTATATTTTTCTCTTTAGGACTCTACTTGAGAGCTCACCCTCCAAATGAGTGTCACATCACCAGGGACGAAAGAAACAAACAACAGCTGGGCTTCCCTTTGTTGTAGTTCTAAACGTGTCCAGCACCACTGCTTCTGTTGCGTAATGCTGAATAGAACAAGTAATAGTTAACATACTGTGTACAACATAATGGTTATATTTCACAATATATCTTTGAAGACAGATTACTGAATTAATGATGGACATTGCGGGTCTTCAGACTATGTCTAAGGGGTTGGAACCTTTATCTGAAAATTTTTAGGGGTCTCCAAATGAAAAAAAGATTAAAAGCCCCTGGCCTAATCTGTAGACCCTGACTGAAATATAATTCAGTTCTTTCTAGTCTTCAGAGAATGAGTTTGTAATCCATTCTCATAAGGATTAAGTGTCAAAAGAATGTATGTCCAGTAGACCAAAAAGAAAAATTAAACACACTGGGAACAGATTTGTTCTATTAATCTGTAATACGAATACCAAAAATGCCAGCAAGATTGTACATCAAAGGAGTTTTACTCCCATCATTAATGTTTGAACAGCACAATTCTAAGAATATTTTTGCTCTGACTGGTTACTGCCTGATTTAACAGCAGCACCATTATGCCATTCTGGTGCAAGTACTATATACTTCACAAATATAAGAAGAGTACAGTATAATTGAAGAGAGAAAATTTTAATGACAAAATTGTTTAAGCTCTTTATAATAGCCAGATTCTGATACTCTTACTTGGGTTGAGTATTAGCTTACATCTCAAATACAGGCAGTCCTCGACTTACGTCGGATCCGCACTTACGAATGGGGCTTTTCTCGCCCGGGAGCTCGCAGGCGGCGGGACCGCCACCGCGTCCTCCGGAGTGAGAAAAGCTGCTCCAGGTCTCCCTGGTGTGCTGGGGGGGACTCCCCAGCACAGCAGGGAGACCCGAGCAAAGCCGCACAGGCCGCGGGGTCCCCCACCTCTGCAGCTTTGCTCCTGTCTCCCTGCTGTGCAGCTAGTGCGTCCCCCGCCCCCCCAGCAGACCAGGCTTTTGTTGCGGGATGCCTGGGGTAGAGCAGCTGGGGTGCTGCCGG